GTCAGGGGCCGTGGTGGTGTCGGGGCCGTGGTGGTGTCAGGGGCCGTGGTGGTGTCTTGGCCGTGGTGGTGTCAGGGGCCGTGGTGGTGTCAGGGGCCGTGATGGTGTCGTGGTCGCTCCATAACAAAGAATGGAAATAAAGCCGTCCGTGACCCCAGTCCTTAACCAATAATCGCATGATAAAAAAATCTTGCTATCAAAGAGAAGCATATGTAAGCTAAAAAGTGAATAAATATACCATTTGAAACAGCCTCACTAAGAAGAAAATACAGAAATTGAAACCTTGCCTTTCCATTAGGTAAGCAACCATTTCAAATATGAATTTTTGCAAATTTTTATTTCGGAGCTGTTTTTTTGCAAACACAAACAAAACGCAAATTTGGAACCTGTAAAATGAATAAATTAAAATATACTCAATATCACGAGTTTCTACGCGGCGTCACCTGAATTAAGGACGATCTAAAAAGAAAATTAAATTATCTACTCTAAAGTTGAAGATACTATTACTTAATATGTTCATGAAAATTTTCTACCGCATCATTAACGCTAGATGAAGATTTAAAAACTGATATCAGAACCCAAAAAAGTTTCGCTGTGTCACAATCCTATGTAACCTAACACTCAAACTACACGAAAAATCACAATTATTGTTATTAATTAGATTTTATCTTCCACCATCTTTACCTTTTCAAAAAGTTAAAACAATAATAACGTGCGGTTAATTTTATCTTTGATTTGAATACGGAAGAAAATATGGCTGTTCATCATGGTGGTTTTATCGGCGGCCGCATTTATTCAAACCAATTACGTCGCTGTTGTTGTCATTGTTTTCCTCGTTATCGGTTGATTTGCTGTCAAGAGCCTGCTTATATAATATCTACTTAACATTGAATATAAATACTAACTGTAAGCCTAGCTGCTTATATAATAACTAATTAACATTGAATATGAACTGTGGTAAACCTTGAACTTAGTTGTAGCCAGTTTATAATCCCTGGACCAAAGCCAATATTGTCAATACCAGAGCCAGTATTGCCAATACCCGAGCCAGTATTGCCAATACCAGAGCCAGTATTGCCAATACCCACGCCAGTATTGTCAATACCCGGGCCAGTATTCACACGTGTTGTACGAGAGGTCAGCAATCTCGGGGCATTTGGGTTGCCATGACGACGCCTCAGACGTTTGATGTTGTTGCTGTTGCTGATGCCCTTGTTGATATTGTTGTTATTGCTGATTGCTGTTTTTAATATTGCTGATGTTATTAATGTTTTTCTCTTTGGTCGTAGTGCTTTTGTTGCCGATGGTCTCATTATTGAGATAAAATTTATTGCGTTGCTACCATTACCGAGGCGTGTCATCGGTCCTGCAATATTTGTAATGAAGTCCGACGTTCCCTCCGTCTCATGCAAGCCCCCCGTCCAGTTCCCTCTCTCCGTTTCCCCTCGCTCTCTCTTTTCGACTTCCCTCTCGTTCCCTCTTTCCGTTTTCCCCTCGTTCCCTCTTTCCGGGCCCCCTCGTTCCCTCTTTCCGTTCCCCCCTCGTTCCCTCTTTCCGTTTCCCCCTCGTTCCCTCTTTCCATTCCCCCCTCGTTCCCCCTTTTCGACTTTCCCCTCGCTCTTTTTTCCCTCAAATTATTTCCTCAAAATATTCGTCTTCCGGGTTCCGAACGAAGAGGGGAGAGGGGCTGGAGAGGGTAGCGACCGAGAGCGTTCATTATAGTTTTCCATGTCTCTTGTTTCCTCATTAACTCAAGTCTTCTTCTAATTATAATTTCCATATAACTATAAATTTTTTCCTACCCTCGTCCCTCGTTCTTCCCTACCCTCGTCCCTCGCTTTTCCCTACCCTCATCCCTCGTTCTTCTCTACCCTCGTCCCTCGCTCTTCCCTACCATCAACCCTCGTTCTTCCCTGCCCTCGTCCCTCGTTCTTCCCTGCCCTCGTCCCTCGTTCTTCCCTACCCTNCTGGTATCGCAGAACCTGATCCAACCAACTGGTATCGCAGAACCTGATCCAACCAACTGGTATCGCAGAACCTGATCCAACCAACTGGTATCGCAGAACCTGATCCAACCAACTGGTATCGCAGAACCTGATCCAACCAACTGGTATCGCAGAACCTGATCCAACCAACTGGTATCGCAAAAATTTCAGAAAAGTCGCGCGTTTTACGATCCTCATGGTTCAAAATTTTTTTTAGCGATAACAGTGGTAATACAAAGTTTACATAATTTATCTTAATATCCACACATTTAAAATAATTAGCCAGGACAGTATTGCAAATTTCAGACTTGTATCTTATTTATGAGGAGAGTTATCTGTCGAATTCATAGTTAAGAATCCCCATAGACATCCACCTCGGCTGAGCGCGTTGATGCAGGTTCTTAAGGAACCCGAGGGGAAAAGAAGGATGCTCTGGTTCTACGTTCAAAATACAGAGGTTCACACATGAATTTTCTTACTGTAGTTCGAAATTCAGAGGTTTACATGGCAATTTTCTTTTTGTGGTAAAAATTGCAGATGTTTTCACAGCAATTTTCTTTTTGTGGTTCAAAATACAGAGGTTCTCACGATAATTTTTTTCTACGATTCAAAATTCAGATGTTTACACGGCAATTGATTTACAAAGATTGAAAATTCATGTGGTTCTATGGCAATTTTTTACTTAGTTCTAAATTCAGTGATTCGTGCGGGAGTTTATTAATTGTATATAAGGCAACTATTGACTAAACGTATTCACCTCTTATTCATGTCATACATTTATTTCATGTTTAGTAGTAACTCATTCTTATTTTTGTTTAATTCAGTTTTTTTTATTAACTCAATCTCGAAGCAGCTCCTTATCTCCAGCTGCTGATAGCGAGCTTCACTTACGGGAGGTTTTCAATTAATAAGAAATCACTGCACTGTCATCTAAGCAATTTAATTAATTGATGCAATAATCAATCTCGAGATCTGTTAAATTTCTTCCTGACAATTTGTTATTTCTACACCTACAAACCTTTATCTTATCAACCACACGCTGTTATCTTCACGCCCACAGGCAGCTGTTTTCTCAGCAACAAAATTGTTATCATTTTGCCTGCAGGATGTTATCTTTTTGCCTGCGGGGTGTTATCTTTCAGCATGCCCGATGTTATCTTATGAGCTGCCGGATTTAATGTTTATCTCTGCTCGTGCTCAGGGCGCTGGGACAGGGGGCGTTCGGGGAGGTGTACCAGGGCTACCTCAAGAACTACGCTGGGGACTCCGTAGAGATGCCCGTCGCTGTCAAGGTGGGTGTTATGGTGGTGACGGGTGTTATTGTGGTTATACTGTGTAGTGGTGGCGTTATTGTGGTGACAGGTGTTATTGTGGTGACAGGCGTTATGGTGGTGTTATAGTTATGAGAGGTGTTATTGTGGTTATACTGTGAAGTGGTGGTGTTATAGATATGAGAGGTGTTATGGTGGTGACAGGTGTTATGGTGGTAATATAGCTATGAGAGGTGTT